ATAGCCCTCTTCGAACTCTACAAAGGCATCACTCAATAATAGCTTAAAGTGGTCTGGGGAGATATTATAAAATAAAAACCAATTCCCATGTTAATTCCCTATATCCAGACTTGGATGCGGCACCCTGTATAACATATGGCAATAATCGATCCAGTAGTTTCGGAGAACACTTGTCTAATAAAAAATGGATACAGACACCAGACAGACAGACAGACAGACATACGGAACCGGGAGACCATTTTTTTCGTACTCTGGAGGTCATGATACGTCGAGAAATTTGTACTGTGGACGTAGAATTGTTGACATAGGTCACTTATTAACAACATTGAAATCAATCAGTCATAATATGTTGGGTTGCACTTTAGATAATATTGAAATAACTCATGAAAATTGTTATGGTTTAAAAATTGTTTTCTACTACAAATGTAATATGTACGGAATATTCGGTAATTTTTGTACTGAACCTGAAAATCTCATATACAAAGTCAATTATGCAGCTATTTGTGGAGCTATATCAACGGGCGTAGGTTATTCTCAAATTTCAGAATTTTGTTCACCTCTAGATATCCCTCAAATATCCCAGGCGACATATCGTAAAGCCGAGGCTAGGGTTCTAAACACCTTCGAAGCATTTTTCGAAGAACAAACCAAAAAAGCAGGTAAAGAAGAGTACCGATTAGCAGTGCACGCGAGGGAGGTAGATAATGATTGCGTCCCATATATTACCCGGAATGGGACTATTTGGCGCAAAGATACTTTGGCGCAAGCCATCTTGGCGCGAGCCATCTTGACGCGAGTAGGTCGGTGTATAATATAAAATATATTTATTGTTGGTTGGCACCCTATTAGTTACGCCAAGTGTAGGCAACTAAATACGCACGCAATTTCATTTGCACAAATTCCAATAACTAAATGATCCACGGAGCAAGAACTTTCACGTTTAGGAGTATGTTTGTAATGGGGTGCAGGGCGCGAAGTGCCCGTGTGTCCATTCAAAAGTTGACCTTGCCCCTCCACGCGATGGTGACTATAAAAAGTTGGGTTGTTAGCAACGGCTGCAATTTATATATTTTTTCCTTGATGCGAGTTGATCCGCGCCTAGATGGCTTGCGCTAAAGTGTCCCTGCGCCAAAATGTTTCGCGCCAAGTCGGCCGCGCCGAATTGTCCTAGACCGACGTCCATGGAAGCTTCAAGTATCTTAGAGGGATTTAGAACTCTGAGGAACTTTACAATTTACGTTATAGGAGAATTATAGGCGACCAGGATAGTAGCGTATTAAAAAAAGTTCGAGCTGCAAAACGATATGGTGCACATTATTTTATAGAAAAAGTTGAATGTAGAAATCACATACTTCGTAATTATTGTTCCAAAATTAGAGAAATAGTTAAAACAAGGAAAGCAGATATCACTATTAAAAATGTTCTTAAAAATAGTATTCTAAAATTTAGAACAGCTATTATAAGTACTATCAAATTTCGCAAAAATGAGCCTCTTCCTTTTTTTTCCAGCATATATTTGGCAATCACAAACAATGTGCAAGATATTTTTGTTATAAAAGTGGACAGTCAAATGATATTTTATTTTCTACTTTCGCAAATGGTCTTTTATACGAACCTTACAAACAAGTTTTAAATAGAGTTGCAAATTTGTCGCCTAGTTTATTTTTTGATATTGACAACAATGCTGAGGAATGCTACAATTCTGTCGTTAATATATAAATTGGAGGAAAAAGAATAAGTTTTTCTGCACGAGGATCGTATCAAGGGCGATGCTTTGCTGCGGCAATAAGTTATAATAATAAGGGTACGTTCCTAATTCCGTTATTCAAACAAATTTTTGGGCAGGCCAATGTTAGTATACGAAGGCGTTTGCGGAAAAAAAATTGAAAAAAATAAAAACGATTAATAAGACTAAAACCTCTGTTAAAAAGTTGCGTATCCGAAGTGCGGATTCCGGAAAAAATAATATCGTAGACAACAAACGAAAACTGCAGATATATTACCTGAAGTGTATGAAAGAAAAAAATCGGGTTTATTAATAAAGCTGTCACAGAGTAACGTAAACGTTATTGAAAAAACTACTTGTGGTCAGCGAATGTGTAGTGAATGGGGTAAAGAAAGGACAAAATGAAAGACGGAATTAACACCGCAAATACCGTTAAAAGTATTGTGCATTCCGATAAAACTTTAATGAAAAAATTGCCCAAGTCTATATAATTTGGTGTTGACAATGAAGAAAAGGCCAAAGAAAAATTTGAAGCTCTAACAAATTTGAAAGTTATCTCATGTGGTCTATTTATAGATAACGAAAAGAAATTTTTAGGAGCTTCACCAGATGAGTTAATAAATTGTAATTCAATTGCAGATATTAAATGTTCATATGGGGCTTGCAATAAAAATATTAAAGAAGCTATTAAAAATAAAATCATTCATTATTGTTCAATAAATGGTATAACAGGGTCCACTGCATATAACTAAAAGAAAATAATGTTATTTTATCACCTACACTTACGTAGATTTAGAATATTTTTTGATTGAAAGAGATGATTACTTCTGGAATAAACATATGGTAAATGTATTAGAAAAATTTTATTTAAATGCCATGCTACCAGAAATTATTGACTCGTGGTGGAGTCGAAATCAGCATTAAGTATAAAATGTTAATATTAATATAATTAATAATAATAATAATAATAGAATTTATTCCTACAGGTAAAACACCCAATTACAGGAAATCAAAGATATTCGTGTTAAAAGAACTTACATGGGAACAATAAAAAAAAACTTAAAGATTAAATGTTAAGACAAACGCCTAAGACCAAATTAACCTATAACTAAAACATTTAATTTTGAAAAGTAACAATTGCATGCTCAGAAATAACATTAAAAGAATCTGCAAATAGATCACAATGAAACGCAATATTGTTATAATATTTACACATAAGTGCAATAGGTGATTTTACTAACACGTTAGATTTAGGTTGAGTACAATAAAAGCTTAATCAATGCCTAGTATTAAGACGAGGGACTAAGAACGAAAGCTTGCTTAATAGAAAGATGCAATCAATTTTGTAAATGACAATATTATAAAGAAACTTAAGAACAATTATTATGCGTCTAATAAATAAGGAGTTTAAATTAAATTTATTTAATAACGTGTTGTGATCAAACCCTCTAGGTGGGTACTCACCGTCCACGAGAAAAGACAAAAACTTGAAAAATCTACGCTGTACTGCTTCCAGGTGCAAAATATGTATATTATAAATTGGAAACCATATAATCGCGGCATATTCTAATCTAGATCTAACTAGGGTACTAAATAAAAGCAGCAGTAACGAGGGATCCGAGAATTATCTGCAATTCCGATAAATAAAACCATAAGTAGCGTAGGCTTTAGAAATTGTTTCATTAATATGTTGTACAAAATGAAAATTTTCATCAAACACAACCCCTAAATCTTTACTGTCTTTGCCATTTCTATTGAAACACCACCTGTTGATTTTGCTTAAAATTTAGCAATTGGTAACAGCTTTTGGTTGATTGACAACGGCTTTTAGTTAGAAAATTATCTGAATATGAACGTTGCCAAATTTACGCTTAACAAGTGGTGTTTCAATAGAAATGGCAAAGACTATAAATGAATCTACACGTGTTAGATCAACGCCATCAATCTGATAATTAAACTTAATCACATTTGTTTATCTAGAATAATAAAAATGTCGAATTTTCTGCGTTGCAGGGGTCTATGCTTTTATCTTATTATTTTTATTTTATTATTATTAATATGATTTTCTTAATTGCTTCGTTTTCATTATCCATACTATTTATTATCATTTACATATTACAGTACTTACCTACATTTATATTTGCTGCTTGGAATTTTTTTCCATCTGTGCCTTGTAAGTACTCCCCTCTTAGGAATTGTAGTAATTTATAGTTGCAATTTTATTTGCTTTACTGCACATATTGTTATAGACACATCCTATATCCCTAACATGGCTTGACTAAATGTATTCCAATAATAAAATTCCATTTAATTAATATCATTCATTTAATTTAAAGAGGGAATCAAATCAAAACAAGAGAACGAAAAAATGTCATCATATTTCTGTAAAAATTTTACTGGCATTTATCCTTCTTAATGCTACTGTCAGATACTTCAAAGGTATTTAAAAGGTGCTCTATTGTGTGGGCCATAAATTACAGCTTACCGCCTCAGCTAATATTTTGGGTTGTCTAACTTACCAAAATTTGCCCCAAATGCATTGCAATTTTTTTACAATAACTAAAAGAAGTAAAACTTTAACAGAAAACGAAAAATGGTGCCTAAAGTAGAAAACAATTCTCTAACACCTCGATATTTTCTAAAAGCACACCGAGTTATAGTTTTCGCTAAAAATCCGCTCGGGTTTTACGCACTTTATTTTTTATTTTAAAAACCGCTACGTTTTTTAAAAAATACAAGATTCTTCTTTAAAGATTTTTATGTCATGATCACGCACATGTATCGCCCTGCTCTTCAACTGTTAAAATGAAGGCGCAAAATGGGATGGCGTTTGCCTTATTTTGGCATCATTTAATGACTGTGTGCAGGAGCCTTAAGTAGGAAGTTCTTTAAAAACCTAGAGTAAACAATATTTATTCTACTCTGTTCGAGATTTGATTATTGTGGCGTCAAATACAAGAAGGAAATGATAACACGAATTCAGATTGAAGCAGGTCTTTTAAATCATTATAGAAAAGCTTTACCTAATTTCTGAAATCATAACCAGACAACACCCACATTCTTATCAGGTACTTTCAAACAAGATAACAATATTACTGCTATGTATCACATTCAATATTTAAATAATGGAAACATTAATCCACATAATTCAAATTGTATTTGAACTGCACTACGTAATGTGCATTAATGAATCCACTTAGCTGTCTTAAGGAAAATACCATCCCATGAATCATTATTCGTAACAACATTAGATGAAATGCACATAATAACTTACCCAGTTGATTTTTTATTTTAAACTATCATGGTATTCCAGTATTTTTGTCGTTAAAAAACGGTGCCCAATTATTGTATCCTTTCCATAAAAAAACACTAGAAAACTGTTAATGTTTATATTTATCAGCACAAATACTAAAACACTGTGATAACATGATGATAAGGACTGCAACAATTGCTCACTCTCCCCAATAATTACTTTTAATTGAAAAATGTCAAATTCACGAACACCAGCCCTACACACGTCCTGAAATTTCGGGTTCACGGGGGACTAACTACCAACCGCAACTTCAAAATATACACACGAAATTAAAAGTTAAAGAATTTTCAACTTCCTGATGTTAAAATATTTCCGTCTCTCGTTAGTTACCATAAGATAAATTACAAAATGAAAACAGCAGTGTTAAAAATATTCGTAGAATTGTAGTTTATTTAAATCAAGTTTATTGCTACACTAAAACAATTAAAAATAAAAAATTTGGTTCAACACTTTTTCGCAAGATTGTACGAAGCACTCTAAAGATAACCCTCGCAACAGCCACAACGGACGCAGGCGCGTAACGTACACCATGATCATTTACTCTAGCATCAGTGTTGTGGCACGGTGCAAAACACTCGAATACTCGATGCTATACAGAGAACAGCTAGAGTCTGCCAGAGCGGTCAAGTGCGAAACTAATAGTTGCAGAGATGTGTTCGACAGATTATCTGCAAATGCTAATTACATATCAAAGAGATGTGACGCTGTAAAATAGTGCTTGCTAATAAACATGAAAAAAATTAAGTTACATCAAGATCACGGATTCATGATCTCTCATTCTTTCAGGGAAAAAATGCAATTATTTAGGTAGGCAGACACAAATGGGATGTGTGGCACACCAAATTAAGTGATTTAAACATCTACATTTACTCTAATGCACAAGGTACGTAAATAACGATCAAATCGTACTGTCACTTTGAGCAATTTCGGTGAAATTTTACAAAACGCAGCATGCGATTTTTTTTACACAAACTGCACAAAACTCTTCTACAGCACCTCTTGATCACGTTCCTCACATTTAAATATCGTGCAAATACTTCTTCGTGTCAAAAAAATATTTGGTGTTCCCATCTATTAGCTGCGCCAAGTGTAGGCAACCAAATATACACGTATGTTAAGTCGCACTCGCACAAATTCCAGTAACTAAATTGGGACAAGAAATTCCACGCTTAGGAGTACGATTGTAATGGGGTACGGGGCGTGAAGCGCCCTATGTACATTAAAAACCCCCTGCCAATAAAAAGAGTACAGCAAAGATATTGAATAAGTAAGTATTGGGAATTCAAATTAATTTTAGCGCGCTTCGAACAGCTGGTGTGTGACGTCACATCCAGGGAACTGAGTACTCGGCAACATGGGCGAACGTCGTTTTACAGGTTTTGTGTTGCAAATTCGTATTTTACTTTGAATGTTTAGTATTGTTCTTCGTGTATTTTAACTTTTTGTGCTATAGTGCAATATATACTTATTTAAACAGTTAAGGGTACCCAGTAGCAGACCGAAAAATGAGCTAAATAGAAGTTCATTTTACGAGCATAATTTCAACTTTGAAAAAAATCGACATTTCAATTGATAGATTATGTCTAAATCTCTGGGGAAACACAATATTTTTTAAAATAAGTGATTGTTTAGTGTTTAATTAATCGTTCATTCTTCGAAGGAAATTGCATTTTTAGACGAGGAGGGAGCATTTTTCGCTTCAACTTTTATAGCAGTGCAAAGACAACATTGAGCTCTGTGGGGAAGACTCGGTCATCTTTGTTTAAAATTTATATTTATCAAAATATTTGCTTTTTAAAAAAATACTGAATAATGAAAATAAAGTGAAACTAGGCAATCATATTTACTAAGGATTCGTTTCGATAAATGGTTGAGTTTTACACAGCAGGGAGTCTTGCCACAGTAGATCAGTAACGAAACTTCAGCAATATTTGCGGATCGGGTGTGACCTTGGGAACCCGTTCCCGGGAAACACGAAGATTCAAATATTTCGTAGCATTCGTATGTGATTCATATAATCCTATAATTATACACAAAAATAAAAATGGTTGGCATGTACTAGTGACATTGTCCATTTGTTTCTTTCTTATAAATTATTAATATATTCAAGCAAAACATTTTTATGTTCGATTGCATAATAATAAATGTTTTCTGGTATCGTTTAGCGTCCATAAAGTGGCTCTTTATGGACTAGTCCGTAATGATAAAGTAAAACGGCCGCTTCCCAAATAAAGTTTGTAGCGTGACCATAGCAACAAAAACAGCATACTTTGAAAGCATCACAATTTTCGATGCAGAATGTAATTTTTGTAGGCCAATTTTCTTCAGTGCAATCGAACATAAAGCTTTGTATCTTACTCGTACATAATTAGGCTTTGTTGACTTGCCCTATTTATTGGCCTCGCTCGCAAGCTCAATTTGGGAATTGTATAAATCCCACACCAATAGAATTCCAAAGAACGTTTCGGAAACTATTTACTACAGATTATTTCAACACAAGTGCAAGAACCAACTCTGAAACACTATTTTATTTGAAATGAAAAATTTGCTAAGGTGTTTGTGATAACCCAAACTTCCCGCCTTTAAATTGACCTTGAAAAAGTTTGAAAGGCCCGCGAAAAATTCAAAAATTCAAAGTTTGGCCTTGGCTGTGATCGTCTAACAAATGAGAACCTACGTTGTGTATTTTTTTTTGTTTTTGAAAAATGGCGGGAAGACGTTCTTTCATACAAGTGAGCATATACTGCATGTGAGTTGAGAGCGCAAGAAATAATAGACAAAATTGTTTTGGAGGGGTGAATACGGCACCCCCTCACCGGAGGAAAGACGCTGCGAAGATTTACTCCTTTTTGTTTTATTCCCGGACATATTACATTTCAAACACCTTAAGATATATGAAAGAAAAACACTCGCGAATTGACAGACATACACATATGAAAAACGAACAACCGGAAAATTCTATACATCTGTTTGGGATCAATGCAAATATTTGAATATCACAAATTTAATAAAACAAAGCAAAAGCTGAATCAAGTAATTGGATGCAAATACACAAGTTATTACAGGCGTGTGGCGATCGAACAAAATATATATCAATTTCATTTACGAGCACAACAAGATACCCAGAGGGGGCGGTGTAGCGCGAGTAGAGGTTGGGACTCCTGATCGTCACTGTTCTCCCCCCACGACGGTGATTCTATCTACACCAAAGCCTGCTCACACGCACATCTCCATTACGAACGTGCCCTGCTAAACGAGGCGGTTACGATCGCAGATCCGTAGTTGGGTCCCGGCTACACGAAACCGGCAGCGTTAAAAACCCGCGATCGCCCCCTGACGCTATACAAACCCGCGGACTTGTGCAGGTGATGCGATCAATCCGTCAGTTTGAGAAGGAGTCGCGCGCCCCACGTACACTACGAGTTATGTGTTATTTAACCTCCATTCCATTTTAAAATATTCAATCTCTTATAACTCTGATATTAACAACAACTGAACAAGTGTTAAAGTTTCAAAGAGCAATAAACATTTAAATTCGCCATACAATCTTGTGAAATTTTAAACAACAAATAATTCTTATGTGAGATTAAAGTTGGACATCAGGTGATAAAATAAACTTGTACAAATAGAAATATTATGTGAGGATAAAACTGTAGAACATGAAATTTACGTTCCATTAAAATTATACAACAAATAAAATTACTGAGGTTAAAATTGTGAGATTAAAGAAATATTGTATGAGGTGAAAATTTGCAGAGTTAACAAAATTTACAGGAGATTAATAATTGCCACACTTTATCAACGGTTCAAACAAAGAGTTTACATTATGCCAAATTATATCATGATCTAAGTGATTGGTTACTTCAAAAATAATTTACTTTGAGAGTTGAAAATACTACGAACTGGTTACCCCAACAAAACACATAATAAACAAACACAAAAATATCCAATCATCGCTCCGAGGAAAAAGCGTCTAGGGGATGTAAGTTTCAAAATCGTTGCGAGGAAAAAGCGTCTCGGTGATGTAAATTCCAAAATCGTTGCGAGGAAAAAGCGTCTCGGTGATGTAAATTCCAAAATCGTTGCGAGGAAAAAGCGTCTCGGTGATGTAAATTTTCTGTAGCGTTGGGGGGGCATGCCTTGATTAATTAATCAATCTGGCGTTGAGAAGCATGCCCCGATGAATTAATCATGATAACGATGATAAGCGCCTAAGGGAAGAAAACATTTTAAACCCCTCCAGCCAGTTCGCAGTATAATGAACTTGTTTAACTGCCGTAAATGAACTATTAGCAATCTTGTGTGAAGAATTTAGAAGTGTTATAATGTAACACTTACGTATATGCATCCAGAGACCTATTCGTAATTAAACATAAGGTGTTTTTCCTGACTAAGTGAATTTCATGAAATCTTCTAGCAAATGGTTTATTTAAATAATCCTGATTGTTGAATTGTGTTTGCTCTAGCTGAGTATTAAGAAAAACTAGCTTAATTGGTGAATTTACAAACAATGAAACAAAATTTACAGCACGTGTTTCTCGCGCCGACCGGAAGTCTGCAATTTTCGATTAAAAGGGCGCAAGAATTAACCGCGCGGGTTGGGGACAACTGTATCATTATGAAAAATACGTTTGATTGTCGTCAAACGAAGGCTTCCTCCCGTTTTATTAACTACCAAACGAACTAATTTAAACCTAGCGCTTACCACGTTGTTACACTCTCACAGCCACATTCATAATGAAATCATTCTACGCCATGCAGCTTCCCTCTACCAACCCTCTAACTGAAATCACCCTAGCGCTACGTGCTGCCATCTGACTCAATGGTCATGCATTAACCCAGACATGTCTATTTGGTTGCCTATGTTTAACGATTCCCTTTTTCGTGATTGAATGTTTTTGTCAAATTCAAATTATTCAATTGTGATTTCGCGCCGCTGTCAATTAATTTCAGCGCGAAAACTTTGATTTAAATTCGGTCACCACAGTGTTCTTTTAAACAAACTTCCACAACACATCTTCCCCATATTCCGGCCTCTTCAACAATCATTAATTGATGTGAGTTACCGGAAACTCACCTTGAAAGAACACAACTGTTTATGGTATGTTTGTGGATACTCATTAATACGAAAATTCTTACACCACCACTTCTGCGAAGTTTGTGTGAACTTTGCACATTCTTACGAAGTGGTACATCCTGTTTTAATTGTGTGACATTTTAAAGTCTTCAATGAAGATGTGATTTTTGGCGATTTAATGATGCCACCTAAACATTTTGCAGTTTATACTCCGATGGGTAATACATTTTGTGAGTTTTTCCCAATTTATGCACCGTAGTCGTTAACTGGTTTGCGGCTAAAAAACGAACCATACAAAAATACCATTCCACCACCCCTGCAAAGATTTTCCTCTTGATTACCTCGTTTCAGTTTTTATTAGAGTTAGAATTTTTTACACACTAAAATTTAAAAATAAATCTTGGACCGCTCAAACACGCACACATCGAAAAGTAAACTATTTCGTTTAACCTGCAGTTTGTTGACCTCTTTAGCCTGTAATTTTCTAGTATTTTTTACATGTAGCGTAAGTATATATATATTACTTTGTTAAAATAAATTTTACGTTTGTTTTTCACCGAAAACCTTAAAATGAAAAAGAAACTATGTTCTTCAAGGTCGGAGCACCTTTAGAAACGCTAGTGACCTCTTTATGTCGTTCCGTAAGCTCCCCATGTATTTCTTATGGAAACAGCTGACACTTTCATAGTTTCATAGCCCTGACTTAACGTCGTGCACCAACGTCACAGTCACTAGTTGCCTCCGTTTTGTAACATAACTTAATACTTATTTGAATATTTGTTTAGTTTGACCACGACCTTCAGCAGGTATGCTTACTGATATACACTTTTTTGTGTTTCAACACACTGCGCTTAATTTTTATTTTACTCTTATTTTTACGTTCAAGAGCCGTGGTTCACGACCCCCCGTCCTACCTTGTCACTGTCGTGGTGGCGCTCTTCCTTTCCTCCAGCGACCACAGAAAAAAGAGCTATAACCCCAAACTCATGATGGTCTATCAACAAAAAGCTGTCGAAACTTTTTACTTAGGGCCTCCTATCTTTAACTAGGTATCAACATGTCATGACCCCTAGAGTGCGAAAACATAGGTCCCCGTTGCCGTCAGTCTGTCCTCTGTGTCCATTCGTATTAGACAGATAACCTCCAAAACTAATAATTTGTATTACATTTTATAGGTACTTTAGGAACATAGTGTAGCACGTAAAAACCGATCATAAATTGTCTAGTCAGTGCGATGACGTCACCTCAAAATTGTGTGTTGTAATTGCTGTTTAAATTTAATCAAATGACATGACATACGCGTAAAACATGTTCCTGTTCATTAAATAATGCTAAAAATGTTTACAAATGGCTGTATTCTATATTTTCTCAATAATTAACATAACATTACAATGTGTTTTATTTAAACGCAAAAAAAAACTGTCAAGTGTGGAATTCGAACCCACGCTCCCTTTCGAGAATCAGAGCTTAAATCTAACGCCTTAGTTCACTCGACCAACCTGATTTGTTTATAAGTATATATTTTCCTACTAAACTATATGACAGGATAGTCATGTTAGAGAACAAAACACGACCTGAGGCGTCATTAAACCGTCAAGTCAACAGCAGGCACGTGCCGACCGAAAAGGTCGCTGTAGCGGAAATAGGGCTCAGATCAACCGAGGACAGGACGATGACAAACGCTACAACCCTCCCGGACACGTGCCGAGCACGACCCTACCCGAACCAAGGGATCGCTTTCACGACCTCGGCCGAGGTCAGATCAACTGAGGACAAGACGATCACCTCGACCAAGGTCAGACGATGACCGATCTCAGAGGTCAATGAACGATCGATAAAAAGTAGTGGGGCTGCTAGACCAGTTTGACCTCATTTGACCTGATTTAGAGGCCCCACTATATAACTACTTATGGCTACTGCAATGTACAAGGCCGAGTGGTTATAATTTTGTACTGCTAATTTACTCAGATTCCCTGGTGTAAGTCCAAATCCCATTCTCATTTTTTTTTTCGGAGAAAATGAGTTTGTTTGACTGGGAGACATTTTTTTTAATTCTCCTAAAGGTTACGCCAGTGGTTACGCTACATGCAGGCATAAAAAACGAGCTCCGTTTTCAGATTTTTTCATAAGGCGGTGGTATTTAAAAAAGATTACCATCCACAATCACTTCTAAAATTAGCCAATAACACGTGACGTCACGCTGTGGCGGGAACTCAGCGTTTGACAAGCGCCGTGAAACTCCATAAGTGACAATGTTAACATTTTCGCATTTTATTTAAAAGTGTGGGTATTTATCTAGAAAATAAACACGTGAATAGCTTCTTTCATATCTTTTCTGTGTATCAGGGTGCTTTTTTTTGGCGATTTGAGTTTAAAAATACATAATAAAAATAAAAATACAGAACGCTGTTTTGGTCTGAATTTCTCGTCACCCAAAATACATCCGTGTGTTTTAAGCGGTAAATCGGAAATTAATATTTTCGTTTGAGGTGCCGGGTTTAAGTGAAGGTGTGTGATTTGTTTTTAAAGTATGGATAATTTAAGTGATTATGCACGATGTCGTTCCGTCAAAGAGAAAAACAGATATGTACAAAATCTAAACATTTTAAACGGCGTGGATCCTTATATAATGAGTACAAGTGATTTTAATTTGTGTTTAGACGATGTCCCTACCATAACAATGAATACCATTTTAAACTTTTTTATTTTTGGAATAAGTAAAATAACCCACAATGAAATTCGTGCATTCAAAAGTTTAGAGGCATTTATTCAGTTTTCTCTTTTTTAAATGACTGTGTCTTTCAATATTACAAGTATTATGAGTGGATTTATTTTGATATCCTAAATTTTGTGATGGAACATAATCAGGCTGGTCCACATCCGACAAATCTGCAGGTTTACCTAAAAGAGCACCAATGTAGTAATTTATGAGAAACTGTAAATCTAATAGGTAGTTACTGTACCTAAAATAAAATGATCCGAACAAATATTAGGAATACTTTACTTTGGCTTCGTTAAATCCACTCTTTTCAAGGCTTTTAACCAAAGCTTCCGCCTTTTTTCCCCATCCTGTATATATTTACCTTTATTGTTGCTAATTTTTGGGAAAGGAAAATAAAATTTGTCCGCATTTCTGGTGCTTCGATTCGCGCAACCCACAACAGCACAAAATTTAGGCATTTTTTCCTAAAATACAAAATATTATAATATTAAGATGCTAGTGTATTTAAAAAACATTGATGTACATTAACACATAATCAATTTGCGAAACAAATAATACAGGGTTAGTCACGAGAGAATTACTTCTGAAAATTATTTTTACGCAACCCAAAATACTAATACCCTGTACCACTTGATATTATCTAAATTTAAAATGAAATGCTTAATCCATGATTGCTTTGACTTTGGCAGTGTCACTTTGACGTTAATTAATTTTTAACATTTTTTTTCATCGTTGACTCGCCTCTAGAGCCCCATTGGATCGACGACATACAATCAGATCAATCTGAGCTATACTGAAGCCGTAAGTGCTCTACCAATGTTGTCCGCCGCTAATGTGCATGTGTTAATTCGCCATCTCTGCGTCACCTAGAGCCTCTTCGAAGTGCAAATCTGCAACCTCTGGACTTCTTCGGCCATCCATTCACAAAAAAGCCGTAGCATCCCCCCAAAATGCCCAACATTTTCAACAGATTAGTAGTTAAATTATTTACTTACTTGTTTGAGTTTGTGTTGTAACCTTTGAATAAAATGCCGTAAAAGGAATTTTTAGAAATAATTTTCTCGTGATTAATCGGTTGCAAAAGATCAAGAGGCACACTGACAAATTTATTAGCGGCGCCGGAGGAGATTTCCGACTGGCTGCGGTACCACCATGGACACTCGCGTAACCTCCTTTTCCACAATTGTCAAAATGAGATTGTCAAACTCAAAGCAATCATGGATTAAGCATTTCATTTTAAATTCAGTTAGTATTAGTCTGTGGTTAGTATTAAATGGTACATGGTATTCGTATTTTGGATTGCGTAAAAATAATTTTCAGAAGTAATTCTCTCGTGACTAACCCTGTATAAGATGCAGCGAAGTTAACCTGTACATCGCATTGGAAAACATTATTTTTTAAGGATATTCAAACGTTATGGTGCGTTTTACAGATATCTACACAGTCTAGAAACTGTAACAAACTTACCAAATTATAAAAACACAGTTGACACACTCTCAAATTTAAATGAATTCCGAAAATATTAGCATTAACTCTTATGAGAAAACCGGCTAGTTGTCAAACGCTGCCATCTTGATGACCTCGGATGACGTCAGTGTATTTGGCTAATTAGCTGAAGGAAATTCTGTTTGAACAAAATTTCTTACAACTGCCGCATTACTTATTTTGAAGCAACTAACGGATGTATAATTAAACATATATTCGCAGCAGGTCTTGGAATAGACCACTCAAGTAAGGTTAGAATCAACCACTGCATGGCATTTCTTAATTTAAAAATTTTACTGTGGGTTTCTTATGGGAGCTTGATTTGGCAGGCAAAATACACCGCATAGGTGGAAATCTTAACTAATTCTTGCTTAAGCGATAAAGACTGTAGAATTATTTTCATGTTGCTAGAGGTTTAGCTCTGTAAAAACGTTCTGTTAAAAAAATATTTTGCCACCAAATAGCAATGACTTTGCTCGCTCGTTGCTGTTGCCCAGCAAGAACCAAACAATACGAGGAGGTCTGGAGTGCGTCTTGCCATTAAAAGAGAGGACTAAGGTTTGATAGCATGGGTGAAGGACACCGTATTTTGTAAATTTGGACGCCGTACTTTAAAAATGATGAATACGGTATTCTGTGAATTATGAACGCAGTACTTTGTATATTCTAAAGGCGTACTTTATCAGTCCTGAATGCATGTTATTAACAACATATTTAAAAAAAAATCGGGCATTTTTGGAAAAATATCCACTTTCCTTCGTGTTCACAGCACTTAACACAAAACATTTTCGCTAATATTTATTAACAATAAATTAGAAATTCGCGAACACGTGCTACTTTTAACCCAAAATGAAGCTCCAATGTTGCTGCTACCAGACCGGAATCAAAACTGAACAGAAAGGATCGAAAATGTGACCTTTTATCTGGTAGCTCACGTGACAGTGACATCATCGTACCTCACGATGAGATTGCAAAAATTATTTTTCATATTTTAGATCAGAAATTGTATATTTTCGGGGTTAATTTAACAACGTTTAAACAAACTAATTTGTTTTTACTAACCTCGTGTTCTTAGGAAAACGGATTTCGGTTCAATTATCATATATTGATAGTTATCATATTTGAACATTATGAATTGTATTAATTATGTTTAAATTTTATTTAATTATATCGCGAAAATGTATAGCTTTGACCCACCAACTTCAATCGTTTCGAAAATTTATCCAAAATGTAAACATTGTCGACCAAACGAATCACGGAATCCGATAAATTAAAACTGAAGTCGTACTTACCCTGTTTTCGGTCCTTTTCGGAAAAATATCCATTTTCGTTCGTGTTCACAGCACTAACATAACATATTTTCCGTAATATGTATTAATAATAAACTAGAAATTCGCTAAAACGCTCCACTTTTACGCCGAAATGAAGCGACGATCTTGCCGCCATCAAACAGAAATTAAAACTGAACACAAAGGACCGAAACACGTGACCTTTATACAAGTAGCTCAGGTGACATTGACGTCATCGTACGTCACGATGAGATTGCAAAATTTATTTTTCATATTTTGGCCGGGAAAATGCACATTTTCGGGGATAATTAAACATTGTTTAAACAAATTGATTTGTTTTTAATAATTTCGGGGTTGTAGGACAACGGGTTTCGGTTTAATTATCATACATTGATGCTTATCATATTTAAACATTATAAATGATATTAATTATGTTTAAAATTTATTTATTTATGTCGTAAAAATGTATAGCTTTGATCAACCGATTTCAATCGTTTCGAAAATTTTCCCAAAATTTAAATATTGTCGAGTGAACGAATCACGGAATCCGATAAATTAAAACTGAACTCGAACTTACCCTGTTTTCGGTCCTTTTCGAAAAAATATCCATTTTCGTTCGTGTTCACAGTACTAATACAACACATTTTCACTAATATTTAAATATATAAATTAGAAATTCGTGAAAAGAGCCCTACTTTTAAGCCAAAACGGACTCTGATGTTGCTGCCACCAAACCGAAATCAAAACTAAACGCAGAGGACCGAAAAATGTGACCTTTTATCAGGTGGCTCACGTGACAGTGGCGTCATCGTACGTCACGATGAGATTGCAAAAATTATTTTTCATATTTTCGCTCAGAAATTGTACATGTTCGGGGTTAATTTAACAATGTTTAAACAAACTAATTTGTTTTTGCTAACCTCGTGTTCTTAGGAAAATGGTTTTCGGTTTAATTATCACATATTAATAGTTATATACAGGGTGTCCCAGAATTCGCGCCATTCCCGTGAATGACATGTTCCCTGTCCCGAACTGTGCCGTAATTCGCAAAAAGAATTGTCCAGGCTTTAACCGTGTGAGAACTGGAAGGCGATTAAGTTGACCAATAGAGAGGCTGCTTTTATATCCGAACGTTTCTATGTTCAAAGTTACCTATGCCAAGAACAAAAAATTGGGTAATACTAAAGTTGAATGAATTTTTTTCCGAATCCCCCTCCGTCAATAAAAGGAAACAGAAGTGTGGTTATAAATTTAATCATTTTGACAATTGTTTGTCATAAACTGTCACGAAGTTCATCACTGACCTGAAGAGACGCTTCTGCGCCAAAGATGACTGATTAATGTACACAGAGACGTCAAGGTTTACTTTAAGGCCAGTAGCATGGGACAGAAGTTATTTCTGCGGCCATTCTAGTTAAATTGTGTTTAACTGGGCTGTACATGTCATAAGAGAAGCTGTTTCATTTCATCGTAGGCAAATAATACATTTATTACTATTCTACATAGTGTGGATACCGAACAGCAGGTATTAGAAGTCATTTTCTTAGAGCCCCGTGAATAATGTGTTGTTCTTTTTAACGAAAATTAGTACATTTTCAGAATTCACTATGCATCATATCCCTGATATTAAGTTTATCGTTATTTCTAAAAAAGAGTACCACATGTCCATTCAAAGAACGTTATTAAGTGTACTAAAGAGAAGATGGATCTTTTCAGCCTAGTCGGAAAGGCCGTGCTGGGGCTCCACGGAATGTACGTGTAGGTGCTGAAGAGCAAGTGTTAGAAAACATGGAAGCGGATCCTAGGAGAAATGTCCGCTGCGTAGCGCAAATGAGTGGATGCTCAAGATCGACCACTCATCGTATCCTACAAGAGAGAAGACTGCATCCTTACCATTACACGAGGGTGCAGCATCTGCGACCAGCCGACTACCCGCAACGAGTACATTTTGCTCAATGGTTACTGCGACAAAATGAACTAAATCCTGATTTTTCACGGCGCATTCTTTTCACCGACGAATGTTCATTTTCCCGAGAAGGAATGTTTAATGCACACAATTGGCATTTCTGGGCACACGAAAATTCACATCTCACTAGGGTGAGAGCATATCAGGAGCGATTTACTATTAATCTATGGGCTGGAATCATTGCTACTAGTGTGGTACAAATTTTAATGCATCTGATAAAATTATCACTAAACTCCGTTCCTGTTTATTTCGGTGGGGCCGTTTGTGTTACCTGATTACCTTAATGGGGAGGTATATGCTAATTTTCTACGACTAGAGCTTCCGACGTTGTTGGAAGACGTTCCTTTGAATGTACGGCGGAATATATGGTTTCAGCACAACTTTAAAGAAACTGTTTTAAATCATATGCAACATCAATATTATTCTTGAATAAGTCTCTGTTTTCATTATCTCCCCCACATGATTGACACCACAGCAGATACCTATGATCTCAATACACCAGAGAAGTGGAGTCTCGTCTATTTTTTCGTTGCTTAGATTAGGTATCAGCAACAAAGCTGTTCAGTAAAAATTGATACTGTTTATTGAAAATCATAAGCACCGATTAATCAAAAGCGATATTTATGTTTTAGTACACTTAATAACGTTCTTTGAATGGACGTGTGGTACTCTTTTTTAGAAATAACGATAAACTTAATATCAGGGATATGCTGCATAGTGAATTCTGAAAATGTACTAATTTTCGTTAAAAAGAACAACACATTATTCACAAGGCTCTAAGAAAATGACTTCTAATACCTGCTCTTCGGTATCTACACTATGTAGAATAGTAATAAATGTATTATTTGCCTACGATGAAATGAAACAGCTTCTCTTATGAAATGTACAGCCCAGTTAAACACAATTTAACTAGAATGGCAGCAGAAATAACTTCTGTCCCATGCTACTTGCCTTAAAGTAAACCTTGACGTCTCTGTGTACATTAATCAGTCATCTTTGGCGCAGAAGCGTCTCTTCAGGTCAGTGATGAACTTCGTGACAGTTTATGACAAACAATTGTCAAAATGATTAAATTTATAACCACACTTCTGTTTCCTTTTGTTGACGGAGGGGGATTCGGAAAAAATTCATTCAACTTTAGTATTACCCGATTTTTTGTTCTTGGCATAGGTAACTTGGAACATAGAAACGTTCGGATATAAAAGTAGCCTCTCTATTGGTCAACTTAATCGCCTTCCAGTTCTCACACGGTTAAAGCCTGGACAATTCTTTTTGCGAATTACGGCACAGTTCGGGACAGGGAACATGTCATTCACGGGAATGGCGCGAATTCTGGGACACCCTGTATTTAAACATTATGAATTATATAAATTATGTCATTTCTGCAACTCTTGAGTTATTTTCTAAAATAAATTGACTGATCCATACATTTTTTTGTCACTGCAAAAGCAAATCTAAAAAATATGGATGCAATGATAAATTTACGAAAATATACTGATGATATTTTGCACATTTTAGATAGGATTTATTCGGCAAAATCTTGAGATGACGTCATCAAGTTTTTGGGCTTGATAAACAGATATATTTTGATTAAAAACGTACCATGTTAAACAGTAACTTCAAAACGTCTGCAATAAATCTAAAAATTTAGTTTTGCAATTCTTGATTCAATCAATAAAATAAACTGACTCAGTGATTAATTTTTTTAGAGAAACCCCCTATAAGCAAAACTAAACAATATGAATGGAATGATAAATCACAAGTATAGTCTCATCCTATTTTGGATATTTTAAAAAGGATTCATTTGGCAAAATTTTGGGCTGACGTCATCAATTTTTTGGAGGAAGTA